TGATAGCCATGTGATGTGAGTATCAGTCACATGGAGGCAGGGCTTAAAAGCCTAAATTTTGCCTGAAACTCTCAGACTGAAGAAGTCTCTTGGAGGAGAGACGAAACGTTTCATTAGAGAAGAACCCATCTAGAAGACCTATACAATTTTTTCTTTTTGATAGTGGAATAATGTTTTTTAGATTAAAATCAGTTCCATTACATTAACTGATAATGTCTGCTTAGACAGACYGGAAAGACACGCCCTCTCTGTGACTGTGTTTCAGTTTGAGTCAAAAGTACAGACTTCAAACTTTAAACCAGTTTTTTAATAATAAACACCACATTTGTTTCTTTAAGTTTCCAAAAGGATGCGCGTCACGAGCAGGAAACGCTTCTGTGGAGAAAACACCACAATCCTTCGTCAGTTTCATCCTTCACTCTAGTCCAAAAAGTAAAAACCCTCYAATCTTTTTTCAAACTGAGAAAGTTATTTGTCGAGTAGCAAGAAATTTAGATGAATGAAGAGAAAAAAAAATGATGCAATGAATGAATGTTTAATGAATGATTTATTTATTTGAGACAGTGTGCAATTAAAACATAATTTGATGATGCATTGCACCAGATTTAGCCTAAGGCTAATTTACATATGTAGCCCCATCAAACAGTCAAAACAAAATAACACCCGACAGTAAAATGTAAATAAGAGAGGAAAAAAACAGAAAAATAAAATAATATAAAATAAATCATTTTGCAATTAAAAAATGCATGAAACACCCCACCCCACTCTCCAAACGGTGATGATAAACATTTGGATTTTGTAGTAAGGTGCACCGCAGTGCCAAGCAGCAAAATGATTATTCTGAAAACGGCTGATGATCCAGTCGTCATCGTGGATCATAAAATCCTCTCTGTGTATAAATACATGCTCTGCATGTTACACTATGTATTATATTCTTCAGTGAATCCATTCCTGTGAAATGTATTTTTGGCACAACTTTGCTCATTCTTTATCTAACTGCGTCCATATATCTGTAATAATTGTTGATCATGTGGTTGTAATTGTTAATCATGTTTGTCTGCTGTGAACAATAATCATTTTCACATCATTAACAGTTTCCCAGAATCATCTCTAAGTGTCACCAATGAAACCAGAACCACAGAAACGTGCGTACGCCAGCCTTGTAGTTGGCGTGGGGCTGCGCACATTTCCACATTCATTTCAGTTTTTATACATCTGGAGTTTTGTGTGAAAATGGCGTATACAAGGTTTTTGTGCATATGCATCATTGATACATGAAGCCCCTGGAGTCCACTTGGGCCCACTTAAGAGTTAAAAAATGTCTCTTATTGTTTTAACCACATGCAGAACCAACAACAAGGCAGCAAAACATTAAGAAGCAGGGAAAAAATCATGCATTTTAAATGTAAAAATGTTTTACATCTCTGTGTTCATGGTGGATTAAATGTTTCACATATTTTATTTTTTCATCTTTTCTCCCCATTCAGGAGCCTAACAGATTCCTGTATTGTTGTATTTTATAACTATGTCCAAGTTGAACAATATGTGAAAAATACACAATTTTGTTTATTCAGTCAGTATTTAATACAGCTGGCAATAAATTGTTAAAATATATTGATGTGCTTCTTTTAAGTTATCTTATCAATTAATCAATAGTCGATCAAAATAAGATCAATCAACTTTAGATTAATTCATTAATCGATAACTGGCATCACTAGACCAACTACATGCAGTTAAATTTAGTTCTCAGGGCCGTTATCCTGCATGTTTCACTTGTTTCTCTGCTCCACACACCTGATTTAAATGAATGGGGGATTAAGTGGGTTCTGCAGAATTTGAAAAAGTAATTCAATCTAGGTAGCCTGTTGCCCCTGAATTGAGGTTTACGGGATGCAGCCGATGTCGGCCACATTTTTCGGCTTTTTATGTCACTTCCCACGCTGTAGGCTGTCCCAATTCGTAGGCACCTACTCATGCAGCCGACAAAACCCCAAAAACGTCGGCTGCATGGGAGTAGCCTACGCGACCGACGGTATCCCATAATTCATGACAGCAAAAGGTTTTTTCTTGTTTTCCAATTATTTTACAGAGGAGTTTTTTTTTTGACTGAGTTTGTAAATTAATCACAGACCAATAAATGTAAGTTAAACAACTTAGCTGAAGAAAGTTTTGTTGCAATGAGTTGTTAAAAAATGCAGTTGCAAGTACTGATACTGAAGCTAAACCCAAATTAATAATGCTTTTATTTATTTATTTGTAACGTTTCTCTATTAAAACTGAATTCTGTGAAGTTATATGTTGAAAAAACAACTAAAGTGACATGATATAAAACGTATCACCGTGGTAATGAGGCAGGGCGTGGTCACATAAACATACGTCTTCTGTAGACTAGACCACAGCCAACTTGAGCAGCCACCCATGTAGACTGTGGCCRRCGTCGGCCGCGGTCTACRTYRGCTATAACCCATGAGTTGAGACACAGCCAATGAAAATGTTCCACATCTTGTATCCTGTTTCTGGTGGTTTTTCATGGCAGTGTTACAGCACCTCCTACAGGCCTGGAAAGGTTACTGCAAAGTTTTGTCTCATTTTCTCGTTTTGTCTGGATGAAAACTTTTGCAGTCAAGATGAATTGTTTTTGAGAACATTTTTAAAGAAAACCAGTTTCCTTGCACACAAGGTGTTATTGTTTGAGCAGATGAAATGAACTTTTGTATTTTAATGCCAAACCTCTACCACAGCAAAGTATTTTTATGGAGGAGGATAGCTTCTGTGCTCTATGCACCTTGTAAGGTTTGTACCAAACAGAGGCTCAGCTGAGAGTTTCCATTGAATTATTTTATGTATTAAGTTTAATTTATTATTAGCATGAAACAAAATCTAAATCCATCTCCTGATGTTCTGTTGCTATCAAAGTTTCCACAACAAGTTCTTTAGTTGTGTTTTCTGACAACATTCTGTTCATTTATTGTACATACAGTAACACAGGTTCACAATGAAGGTCCTGTCAGGGAGCTATACCAAATAACAACAGATAAAATGAATGTAGCTAATGAGTTAGCATGACTTCCAGCATTGCAGCCTTTATGTCACTTTAAAACTAAGATCAAGTTGAAGATGTTTTGTTTTCAAACCTTGGAAATAAGAAAAAGCACAATCTTACATATTACACTCAGTGACTCAGTTACTACCACCTCACATATAAGCTCGTTAGCTAAAATATAGCTGTTTTTCAGAAAGGCTGAGGTTGATCAGCAGTGGCGGCCATATTGAATTATATTGATTCTAAGTGTTGAAGAAGTGCATCCAGTAAATTCTTTTTGAAAGTTTCAATATAATCTTGCTAACAAACAAAACTGGATGATGAAAGGTTCATACCAAACTTGTGTTGTGAGTGACTCTCAGCTACTACCACACCTCACACCTAATTTTAGCTCAGTATTTGGGAAGCTGTCTGAGTTACAGATTTCTTTGTGTTTGATTAGCAACCACCATCTGAGTTTACTCTATTACACAGCCACCGTTAACTTTCTGAAAGTTTAACTATAAGGTGTTTTGATAACAAACAAAACTCAATGAGATAAAGACAAGGTTTTAAGCAAGGATGTCACAGAATGTGTAAAGTATATACAGTATGTGTTTGGGACAATAATCAGCTCAAACACAACAAATTTTACCTCAATGTACGTCCAATTCTCTGATTTATAACCGCTGTGTTTTCTAAGGTCAGCTGGGTGTGGTTAACAGTTATAGAGTTACATTAAAAGATTACTTCCTGTAAGTTTCATTATTTATCCAGTGATTTGTGGAATATTTTGCTGACAGTATAAGCAAACCCAGATCTCGACCTTCAGCACCTGAGCTAAAAGTACATGTTGAAGGTTTGAGTCCTGACAGGCAGCCAGTAAACTGTTTGTTTTCTCAGGGTGTGTGGGAACGATTCTCAGGACAGCGGTGGTAGAAACAGATTATTTAGCCAACCTGTGATCAGCTGACACAGTTAACAGCAGTTAGTGGAACAGTCAGGACACATTTTAACAAGAAGATGAAAATCTCCTGTTCAGGCTACTTTAAACACCACAAATGACAGAGCTCGTGTTTGTGCCTAAAGTCACTACCCAAACTTACAAACTTCTAAAAGCTGCACACGTGACTGATTTATTCATTTAAAAAATATTTTAACATTTATATATATGTGTGTGTGTGTGTGTGTGTGTGTGTGTGTGTGTGTGTGTGTGTGTGCGTGTGCGTGTGCGTGTGTGTGTGTGTGTGATTCATAATATATATAATAAGATAATAACGTTGGTTTTGGACCATGTTGATAATAAAGTTACTGGATCAATACATTAATTAGTTTCACTTCATTCCAAAAATAAAATGCTGCACCAGAGCAGCCGACCAGAGGCAGGTTTAAATACACTGAACTAAACGAGCATGTCAGATAATTGTTTAACCATGATCTGACTGAACAACAACTTCAGAATCAACATGCTAACATGTTAGCATCCATGTTTACTCAGTGTGCTGAATGTGATGTCACCTCTTCTTCTGCACATATGTGTCACATATACGGCATAAAACCTTCACATTAGTGTCTGCTGGAGGTCGCATTTAAAATATGAATGTGAACATTTATTCCAAAAACCTGCTTCGAGCACAAAATTGGAATTGAGCATTAAGACTTGCCGTGTGAATGTCGCTTACCTTTAATTAAAATAAATTGAGTGTTTTTAAGGGATAAACAAGAGGGTTTAGATTCAGTAATGCTGTAATACTGTATTTTGACCAAAGGATGTTAGATATTTTGTTACCTCCTGTATTATGGACTTTAGAAAAATGTAAAATAATAAAAAAAGTCTCTTTAAAATCCCAGCAGGCATGTTTCTATAGCTTATGTGTTGTGTTTCTGTCTCGTCCAGCCTCATGTGCTCCCTGTTAGCCCTGTTCTCCTCCACCCTCATCATCTCACTTGTGTTTGCCATCATACCTCTGTGTCACCACGTGGTGCTGTTGTCCGTGGCCATGGGACTGGCTGGCAAAGCCATGGGAGTGATAGACACCATCAGCAACCTGCAATTGGTGAAGCTGTACCAGAAGGACTCGGCCATCTTCCTACAGGTCTGAAGGATGGGACTTCTGTGTTTAGCTTCTTATGGTTTGTTAACGACAGAAAAAAGTATGAAAAGAAAACTTTTGGAGAAAGGTTGAAGACTCCCATAGCAATACTGTGACTGTTCAGAGAAAAATAACTCACACGTTTTTTTTTTTTTTTTTTGAAAATGTTGAAAAAAATGTTGGTCAGAAAATGTGCTGTTGATATTTGACTTGGATCCATAAAGTCAAACAGACACATGCTACAGCAGATTATTTTGTTTGATAAAATTGTGGTAATCCCGTAAAAATCAATAAAGATTTATTAACTTTAGGTACAGTACATACTGTAACTGTATGCTGAAAACAATCTGGGACCAGTGATGTTCTGACTTCTAATTCTATAATTTTAATGTCTCTGTAGGCGTTGCACTTCTTCACTGGCCTGGGGGCATTGGTCAGTCCTCTGGTGGCAGATCCATTCCTGGCAGATGACAACTGTGTTTTAGGAGCCAACTGGACCACCAACTCTTCCTACTCAGACTTAGAACACCTTCGTAATAGCCTGGGAGGGCATGGAGCTGTGCTGCGCAATACTTCCCAATATCCTCTGTACACTGAGGGTATTGTCATCACCAGGGTCTCATACGCTTTCTGGATCATGGCTATTATCAATGTGAGTTCATGTCAATGACATAATATATCATATAAGATCCATCCTTCCATCCATTACCTACTGCTTGTTCTAGTATCAGGTCATGGGGCATCAGTTTTAGGTGGGGAGGCCCAGACATCTCTTTTCCTAGCCACCTCTACCTGCCTTTCTGAGAGGATGCCAAGGTGTTCCCAGGCCAGAAGAGAGACATTTTCTCTTTAGAGTGTCCTGGGTCTTCCTTGGGGTCTCCTTCCAGTTGGAAATACCTGAAGCACCTTCCTAAGGAGGTGTCCAGGAGGCATCCTTACCAGATCATGGCACAATGACACAAACAGAATCACATCATCTGCAATGTAGCACGAACCTCTGACATGACCTGTTGACCACCACCGTCTCACGACTAACTGAACTTTGACAAAACTCTATATTTTCTTCGATCATCTTTCCTTGTCTAATCTTTGAGTAGTATTTTGGCCTGAGATAAAGAATTCCCTGCATATCATACAAATCTCACACTTGGGTAAGTAAGAGTCTGATTTAAAAGGGTGAATAAATATTGGTCAGTAATGGACCTATGATGTCCTGGTGCCACATGCATTTATGGACATACATACAGTGGGGAAAATAAGTATTTAGTCAGTCACCAATTGTGCAAGTTCTCCCACTTAAAAAGATGAGAGAGGCCTGTAATTGACATCATAGGTAGTCCTCAACTATGAGAGACAAAATGTGAAAAAAAATTTGAGAAAATCATTTTGTCTGACTTTTAAAGAAGGCTCTGGCGGGCGGGTTGCCGGGCCCTGGGCCGGTGTGTGCCCTGGTGTCTGGCTCTGGGCTG